CTCTGTCACCTACTAGGGGGAGCAGGAAGGGGGCCCCCAAACTCGCTGGTGCCTCTGAAATCCCAAGCACTAGGAAGTAGCCGTGGACAGCTCTGGAGCCAGAGAGGAGAACATTAGGGTCTCCTGCCCCAGGCTGGGGAGAAACGGGTGGGAGGAAGGGCTTAGACCCCTCAGAAGAGACCCCTGAGGACATTCCTGAAACGAAGGCCGCACCCACCACCTGGGGGGTGTTTGGGTGCACATAGAGCATCCTCCCCTGGCCTCAGGGCCTCAAATCCTCTCAGCCCCCTGCAAGGCTGGGGAGCCCATTTCCTGTCCTAAACGTGAGGCTGCTGAGGCCCAGGGACGTGAGGCAGCATCCCAGCCACCTGCCAGATTCTCTCTCAGACTCTGTGGACTCCTTGCCTGGGATGCAGGATTCCCATCGGGGGCCCAGGATGTTGTTGCAGGGGACCTGGGGGGTTCTCTCGGGGACATCAGTCCCAGAGGGCAGCGGCTTCTCCACAGGAGAGGTCTGAATGTGCAGCCGTGACCTGACCAGGTCTAAATGCAAAGGCAAAAAGGACATAATCGAGCTGCTCCCAGAGGCTGTGTTCAACCACTCGTTTATAACTTTCTCCGGGATGTTCTATGGCCTGCTTCTGTCTTCTGCCTGTGCTCCTTGGGGGGAGCCCCACTGCGTTTTTGTTACCTGTGTGGTGAAGGAGGGGCCCCTCTTGGGGGGTTTCCCCAGCCTGGCCCTTCGCAGCCCCATCTGTGTCACTACCTCAGGTGATCTGGTATCCCCCTGGTACCTGGTCCCCAGGCGGGGGGGCACAGCACCTATCGGCTGGGACTGGAGGGTGAGCGGTCAGGTGTTCCTGTCCACTGACATCCAGGGAGCTGGTTCCTCCACCCCCAGCGCTAATCTAATCAGGAAATAGCAAAGTCCACATTTCCCAGGGGTTATAAATAACCACAGCAATTCAGACAGCATTATTTCTCTGGAAAATGTGCCATGTCCCTCTCTACTCTGCACCCTCCCTTCTCTGTATTTAAATGACATCCTGAAATAGACTTGGTTTCTGGAGGCTGCTGGCCTCCTGGGAGACAGGGCTTCATTGTCAGGGCACCGAGGGGCTGGGCAGGCCTCCCCACGCGGGTGGCAGGGCCGCACCTGCAGACGGGATTTGGAATAGGGCGGTGGCAGGACTCACAGTAAAACACGACAGTGCCACCTTACCAGACCTGGCCTCAGACAGGCTGAAACAAGAGCAAACTGTGCAGGGGACGGGGTCCTAGCGTGGCAGGGAGGCAGAGGGCAACTGAAGGTTCCTGAGGCCTGGAGTTACCTGGGAAGGCTTTCTGGAAGAAGCAGGGCTGGGATTAGGCCTTAGCATCAGGGCTTGCTAAGGCCCTGTCTCAGATGTTCCCAGGAAAATGTAGGGTTGCTACTTGGCAGCTGGAATAGAAGTGATGGGGAGGGAAGGAATGAAAGAATTGTACTGGGGTTGGCCTGCCAGCACCCAGGTCAGCCTGTGGTGGCAGACCGTGGAGGGCCGATGTCTCCTTTCTAGATAAATAACGATCACAGCAGCTGCCTTGCCAAGAGGCAAGGGTGCCAGGCTAGGTGCAGTACACCTAGCTGGGCTGGGTAGGATCTTGCAGGCTTAGCTGGGGCGAGTCAGGGATTCTTGATTTTGTTCCCCAGCTCTCACTTCCTAGACGTGTAGCACTGGGCAAACTCCTCATTCTCTTTAAGCCTTGGTGTCTCATCTGTAGAAGGGGAGCAGCTAGAAAGGCTTAAACCTCATGGGCTTGTTATGGTGATTGATTGAGATGCTGTATGTCAGGGGTTTGTCACAGAGCCAGACTTGCAGGAAATGGCTCACAACACATCAGTCACTGTTACTGTTTCCCGTAGCAACACTCTGAGGCAGGTATGGACACCCCTGTAGGGAAATTGAGGTTCCAGGAGGTTAAGTGACTTACCCACATTCACACAGTTGAGTGGAAGAGTGAACATTTGGACCCAGGTCGGTCTGACTCTCATTCCCTGTACTTTCCCCACTTGGGCTATGTCCACATACCACTCAAGGACCCAGGGAGGGACCACTGGCTCAGTCCACAGCAGCGGCCAGGAGGTGCCAGGTCATAGGAGGCTAGGGCAGGGGAGGGGTACTAGGGGCCAGGACCACAGAATTGGCCTGAGGCTTATGCTGACGGCTGGAGAGAGCTGCATTAGAAGCAGGTGGTCATTCCAGAATGTGTGTCCCAAGGGTAGTATCTGCCCCAGTTGACGAAGAGCAGTGGAGATCTCTCTACTCCAGGTGGCCACTGCTCGAGGTCAGGGCTGGGGACAGACCAAGGCCCTGTGTCCAAGACCCAGGATTCAGGAGGGGATGAAGGAAGTGGAAGGAGCAGCCTGTGCCACAGGCCCGGTGAGGGTTGGGACAAAAAGTTTAGGGGAGGAAGGTTTCAGGGGCCCAGTAGGACTTGGCCCCGAGCCTTGTAGAATAGAGAGTCGGGGCAGCAGCCAGGCTGTGAGTCCCACACGCTTCCCTAGCATGTTTGAGGAGGTGTTCAGTCCTCTCCACACCACTCTCCCTCTGTCCTGTTCTCCAGGCTGGGCCTGGGCCCAGATGCAGGGCCCAGACCCTGTCGGAGGCTTGGGTGCCCCCTGTCCCCAGCGGGTGTGTGGGTGATAGAAGGTGTGGGGGTCTTACCTTGAGCTGTAAGAAGCACCGGGGCCCAGCCCACCCTGGACTGACTCGGGTCCAGCTTTCCTTTGTGGCGAGGGGCCTGTTAGAGCAGCAGTGTTCAGACTATGGTGCACATGCCCTGGGGGTGCAGAGACGGTCCAGGGGTATGAGGGCAGAAGAGTTTTAAAGCATTCAGCTTGCAGATCCTCAGCTCCCACCAGAGCTTTTGCCAAAAAGCGACCCGCCAGAGAAGGGCCTTGCACCACCACCTCGCTCTGCAGCGGAGCCCGAGGCTTCCTGGGGGACTCGGCTCAGGGCTCCCAGGCCTCCTGGGTGGCAACAGAGGGGCCACTTGAAGTGCTGATGTAGGAGCTGAGAAAGTAAAAGACTCTAAAAGCTGGGTTTCCGACCCTTTCACAAGTCACGTGGTTTCCAGTTCTTTCTTTCCACAAAAGTGATGGAAATGGTCAGCTGAGATCATTTAAAATAAATATTGATAATAGGTATCTATGCAATTTAAGGCAAATACAGAGGAAAGAGGTTCAGCCCATCTACTGTATGTGAACAAGATGTTTCATCCTTTACATCTTTAAACACCAAACCAAGGGACTTCCCTGGCGGTCCAGTGGTTAAGACTCCACGCTTCCTCTGCAGGGGGCATGGGTTCTATCCCTGGTTGGGGAAATAAAATCCCACAAGCTGCACTGTGCGACCAGGGTAAAAAAAAAAAAAAAAAAAAAAAAAACCAAAATCTTTAAGCAATACTAAATGCTAATTAAATCATGTCACTCCCTGGGTAAAAATCTTGGTGGAGTCTCATTAGAATAAAACTTTAATTAAAAAAATGAAATAAAAATTAAAACAGTATTGATGCTAAAACCCCATTTCACCCTAGCAAATATTTGTATACATACATGAACTAAAACAGAAAAAATGCTCTACCCATCTCATTAAGCGATGCAATTCCACCAGAATGGTATTTTGCTGCTGAATATTTATTAAAATTTGTACTGTGTTGGTCAAATTTTTTATTATGTCCTGCTAATCATTGTAATAACTAACCCAGAATATGTTTCGAACATTTGGAGCCTAGTGGTCTCAGGAGATCTTTCATTTCCATCTATTCAGACATTTTTGTTGAAGCAAAATATAATAGGGTGAGGAATAAAAGACTTTAAAAAAGAAAAATGCAAACTAGGGCATAATTCTTTGGGAGAAATAGACTAGAAACACAAAATCAAAGAGAAAAAGGAACGTTGCAGGGTTTCTACAAGGGAAAGAAGAACTTGTTTATGTGTTTTTTAAATGGATGATGGTGGATATCAAATCACTATGGAATTTGGATTCCACTGAATACATTTAAAAGAATGATGTAACAGTTTTATTTTAAGATGTAAATATTCACATTATTCTGGAAATTATATTCTTCGCAGCTATTTAAACTTGCTCTGGAAATATTCACATGTTGACTTAAAAATGTGCCAGGGTGTGCATTGTTTTTCCAAATTACTTTATGGATGCACAGGGAAAACAGTTTGAAGGCCACTGAGCCAGAGAAACGGAGTCCCGTTTGATCACCTGTGGATGTCTCTGCGCTTCCCCCTGCCATCTCCACTTCCCTGGGGCTCCTGCCCAGTTTGGGGGCCTCCTCTACAGAGTGTCTGCTTTCTGGGAGACCAGCCATTTACCCGTTATCTTACTGAGTCTTCACGACAGTCCAGCAAGGCAGGTTCTTTACTGGCTGCAGTGAACAGATGAAACAAATGAGGTTTAGCAAGGTGAAAACTTCCCAAGGTCACACAGTCGGCAGTGGCAGAGCTGGGATTCAGACCCTGGGCTCTTCACCTCCACGTGGCACCACCTCCCGTTCGCCACCTCCAGGTACACGGGCTACATCCCCTGCTGTCAACTCCAGTTCAGGAAGTTGAGCAAGTTGCTGATGGTTTGTGAGCCTCGGTTTCTGCATCTGTGAAATGGGGTGATAATACCCATCTCGCAGGGTGGGGTCAGGAGTGAATGAGAGGTGATGGGTGAATGTGCCTAAGAGCGCACCCCACCTCCCTCCCAGAGTGGGGGCAGTCCTGCACTAGCCAGGGCAGGAGGGGCCTGGGGGCTGGAGCCCCCTGAAGGACTGATGTCAAGATAAGCATCAGCCCCCAGTTCCATCTTCCTGACCTTTTAGCCAACTTCTGAGCTGTGGCTGAGCAGCAGGGAGAGCTCTGGCTTGGTCTCAGCTGTCATATCTCTCTCTCTCTCTCTCTCTCTCTCTCTCTCTCTGTCTCTCTCTCTCTCACGTTCTCTTTCTTTCTTTCTTTGCAGCTGGATCCACAAACTGTAGAAACGAAGAACTGGCACACAGATGTGATTGAGATGAATGGGGTGAGCCCAGAGAGATAGGAAGTGTCTGCACAGTGGGTGGGCAGCCTGGCCTCTGCTGGTGCCCTGTGGGGGGCTGTCGGACCCCCGCCTCCTTAGCCCAGCCCCTCCCCCCTCTCCTCTGCCTCCACCCCTCTCGCTCCCACCCTGTAGGTGTTTCAGGGAGCCCTGGGTGGGAGAGGTAGCCCTTGTTTGCAGTCCTGGGGGGCACTCCTTGGGCACTCATGCCCTGGGGGATTGTACCTGCCTTGCCCCCAACCAGATCAAAGTGGAATTCTCCATGAAATTCACCAGCCGAGACATGAGCCTGAAGAGGACCCCGTCCAAAAAGCAGACCGGCGTCTTCGGTGTGAAGATCAGCGTGGTGACCAAGTAGGTGCTGCGCCCGGGGTCCCTGCCAGCCCTGCCCTCCAGGCCCCCCGCCCTTGTCTGGCCCCTCAACAATCACTTTCCAGTTCAACAGTCACAAGGGCCAGTTTGGAGGGCAAAGGTGGCCTGCAGAGGTGTGTTCTCTACCTCCCACGATGCTTTAGAAATAAATGAGCTAGCGCTTAAGCACTGGGAGACTGCACGTGAAGGTCCCAGATGGTCAGCTTCTTGTAATAGGTGGGGAGATCTGACACCTGTAGGCCCGTGTCTTGGTGTGACGGTGGCAGGCTGGAATCCAGGAGTGGCTGCTCCTTGGGAGAGGGCACCCTTCAGCCCCCCTGCCCTCCCCTTGTCTCCAGGACCTGGCCCACCCCCCTCTGTAGGTAACCTGCTGGGTGCCCCCATAGCATTTGAATCTGAGCCCTCTGTTCTGAGGAACACTCTTTCTTTAGTCTTTGGGTTGATCTCCTAAAACTTCCTCCCTCCCACCTTTGTCCCCTGCTGTCCCTCAGCTGCAGGCAGGCTGTTGGGGGGTGGGGTGGCGTGGCCTCTTTCTCAGCCCTCTCCTTGCCCCCCACCTCCTGATCCCAGAAGCCAGAGCTCTCTAAGGCCAAGGTTTGCAGAGAGGGGTACATATAGCTATCACTGGGGGGCTCCCTCCATCCTCCTCCCCTCACATCCCCTCCCCACCAGGCGGGAGCGCTCCAAGGTGCCCTACATCGTCCGGCAGTGCGTGGAGGAGGTGGAGAAGAGGGGCATCGAGGAGGTTGGCATCTACCGGATATCAGGGGTGGCCACAGACATCCAGGCGCTGAAGGCCGTCTTTGATGCCAGTGAGTCTGGGAGGCCCAGCTGGGCAGCAACGGGGAGGCGGCGCTCCGGCAGGCTCGTGGGGCTGGGAGGAGAGCGCAGCAGAAGCGGGAGGCTTCTCCACGGAGAGGCCTCCACGAGCCAATGGCAGAGGGGCCTCGGTCTGTGAACTGCAGCCCAGCACGGCATGGGGTGATCCCCTGCCCTCCAGTCTCTCCTCCATCGCTACAGATTAGGCAGCTGAGCCTCAGAGAGGCCAAGTCACTTGCCCAGGATTACTCAGTATATAGGCTTTGAGCCTGATTTAAACTCAGATCTTTCGGGTTCCAGAGTCCGTGTTCCTGGCTTTCTTGCTGGCTCCCTGGTGCCCGGTGGGCTGCAGGGAAACTAAAGGGTTTTGAGCCTGGGTTGGCTGACACGGGCACCTCCACCTTCTCCCAGGCCCCCAGTGCCCTCTGGGAGGGGCATTGCTGCCTCTCGCTTTGACTGTAGGCTCCTTGGTGGTGGCGCCTGGCCTTCCTGGTTCTTTCCCCTACCTCGCCGTTCAGGCTGCAGCCACAGCACACCCAGTAGTCAGGACACCTGAACTGGCCGGGCAGTGCTCATTCCATGGGAGCTGAGAGGGGGCCTGGTGGGTGTCCCTGGGCAGCTGCCCGGCAGACGTGTTCGGGGAGCCTGGGGTGGGGAGCTGGGGACGTGCTGGCACACGGCTCCTCTGTGCCACCTGGAAGCTGAGGCTTTGTCGGAACATGATTTTAGGTATAAAAAATGCACAGCGCCTTCCAGAGAGGAGCTTAGCAGTGGGGAGATTCCAGTTGGAAGGAGGGCATGTGACACGTGGTGTGAGTGTGGCTCCAGGACTCTGGACGATGATCTATGCTCCCCTCCCCCCACAGAGCTGAGTCACAGGCCACCTGTGGACCCTACCTACATCCTGCCATTCCTGGGGAGAGCAGACCAGAGACAGCATGGGGGTGTCCCGGGCAAGCTGTCTCAGGATGGATAGAGGGACGGAACAGGGCTACCTGCCCAGCTGAGGGCTGCGTGGGGGGGCGGAGGTGGCTCAGCCAGCACAGCCCCTGACATCCCGTCTCCCCTACAGATAACAAGGACATCCTGCTGATGCTGAGTGACATGGACATCAACGCCATCGCTGGCACCCTCAAGCTATACTTCCGGGAGCTGCCCGAGCCCCTCCTCACAGACCGACTTTACCCAGCCTTCATGGAGGGCATCGGTGAGCCTCCAGTGGGGGCCTGAGGGCTGGGCTGAGCCAGGCCTCCCTGACCAGTAAAGAGTGAGAGAGGAGGGCGTCCCTGGTGGCGCGGTGGTTGAGAGTCCGCCTGCCGATGCAGGGGACACGGGTTCGTGCCCCGGTCCGGGAAGATCCCACACGCCGCGGAGCGGCTGGGCCCGTGAGCCATGGCCGCTGAGCCTGTGCGTCCAGAGCCTGTGCTCCGCAACGGGAGAGGCCACAACAGTGAGAGGCCCGCGTACCGAAAAAAAAAAAAAAGAGTGAGAGAGGAGATCTGTGGCTTCCCTTGCTTGTTGATCTGCCCACTGCATAGGGCCGTGTGGCTGAGTGGCCTGGAGGGCAAGGTGTGGCCTGCTGGGGCCTCATCTGGAGGCTGGACCCTCTCTCCCCTGCCCCTTTCCCATCTCATCCCTCTGGGCTGCCCTCTGTGCTTCCTCTTTGGACACTGACCTCCTTGCCTAGAAACCCAGGCATCCAGGGAAATCTGCCCTGAGGTGGGTGGTCAGGGGCTGGTGCCCTGGGGCCAAGAAGAAGTGAGCAGGCGTACACTTGACATGGCCTGTACCGAGCCTTCCAAAAGGAGCACTGTCTCATCTCTGACCTATGCCCAGGGTGGGGAGGAAGCTGGGAGCCCTGGCTGGCAGGGCTCCGGCCTCTACCCACCTGGGCCAAATCCTGGCCTGGGCGCATCCGTCCTGCCTTGTCTTCTGGGTTGAATCACAGGAATGAGGAGCCCATGGAAGGCAGCTCACTGCTGGGCTCCGGCAGTGGAGGTGCTTGAAGAAGAACATTCAGGGAATTCCCTGGTGGTCCAGTGGTTAGGACTCTGTGCTCTCACTACAGAGGGCCTGGTTTCGATCCCTGGTCAGGGAACTAAGACTCCACGAGCCGCGTGGTGCGGCCAAAAAAAGAGAGAGAACATTCATGCCATGACATCACTGTCTTAAACTCAGCCTTACAGTCCAGGTATGGGGAATGGCTCCAGCCCCAAAGGCCTCTGCCTGGAGGTGAAGAACAGTGTCTGCTGAACCACCAGCCTGCCTCCTGGCTGAGTTACAGGTTGTGGTGGGGCCTCCTGTAGGAACCTCCAATAGCCCACTGTTGGGGAAATACCAGGCCCTTCCCTGCAGGGTCTGCTCCCCTGACCCCCTGCAGCCTGGGCTTTCCCGCAGTGTCCTGTAGCCTCCTGACCACAGGAGGCTAAGGCCTCCCTGCCCAGAGCCAAGCCCCGCCCCAGCCCCTTCTCTCCCCACAGCCCTGTCAGACCCTGCTGCCAAGGAAAACTGCATGATGCACCTGCTCCGCTCCCTGCCAGACCCCAACCTCATCACCTTCCTCTTCCTGCTGGAACACTTGAAAAGGTAATGGGGAGGGGCCCAGTCCAGGGGAGGGGGCAGGGAGCCAGGGCAGGCTTCAGCTGCGGGGAGGACACATCCGCCGAGGAACCCACATCCTCCGTGCCTCCAAGTGGGTGCTGGTGTCTGCTGAGACACCATAGCAGGGTGAGAGTTTGCTCTTCAAATCCTTGTGTTCACATTCTTCTCTTTTGAGAAATATTTGGGTCCTAATGGCAACCTCAAATACTGGCTAGAGAATGCTTAGAAAGGCAGGGCTAGAGCCAAGGACTGTAGGTGGATTTTACAGTCAGTAGGTCATTCGGTCCACTTAGCATTTTTTAAACGGAGTAGGAGGGACAGCCTTGGGGTGCCTATTGTTCTGTTCAGTTACGCACGTTGCGTGTGCTGGATGCTCAGGTCAGACGTGTGTGTGTGTGTGTGTGTGTGCGCGCGCGTGTGCTTGTGGGTCACAGTCAAAAAAATTTGAAGCCCGCTGGTCTTGACCCACAGCTCATCGAACAGATAGGGAATCTGAGTCCCCAGCCCAGCAGGGACTTGCCTGGGGTCAGCAGCAGCTCTGCCCTTAGAAGCCACATCTCCCAGATCCTCAACTACAGCCCTTCTGATCTTCTCCTCTGCCCCCTCCACAGTCAGGTCAAACCAACAGCTGCTCAAGTTATGCCTGCAGCAAAGTTCATACTGGAAGCTAGCCCTGACTGTGACCTTGCACTCACTTTTGAGTCCGGGACTGGTCCCAAGGTGTGAGTGGGGAGGAAAAGTCCCCAGGCGTCCCTTAAGTCCATTTGCCACCCGGGACCAGGGAGCCCCTGGTGAGGGGCCGTGAGCACTCAGGCCCAGGCTCCCAGTGGCGGCTCGGCCACCAGGCCAGGCCAGGCTCTGGAGGGCCAGAGACCTGGGAACGCCTGGGCTGCTGTCTTGTTTTTCCCATTATGAGACATTTTCCCTCTGGTTTGGCCAGGACCAAAGTCCCAACCAATTCCCAAATAGTTTGGCGAGCACTGTGGGGAGGACACACAGAGGAGGAATGGGAAGGAAAATTCATTAGGTTTTCCACCCTGGGAACCGGGCACACTCTGTTCCCACATCTGGGCCCTGGCCGGGGTGTGTGTTTGTGTGTGTGTGTGTGTGTGTTGTGTGTGTGTGTGTGTTTTTGTGTGTGTGTGTTTGTGTGTGTGTGTGTGTGTGTGTGTGTGTGTGTGGTGGGCCCTGGCCGGGGTGTGTGTTTGTGTGTGTGTGTGTGGTGAGGGGCTGGGCCAGCTGCACAGCTGCCTCCTGGCATGGCAGTGTTTTTCTGCCTGTTTCCAAAGCAGTCAGCAGGCGCATCCATGGCTCCGGCCTGGAGGGTGGAGTGACGGTGTAGTGGGAGTGGGGCGAGGGGCGCTGTTCAGGGTGGCTGGGTCTCAGCCCCAGAAACATTGCTTGGGACTGGGGGAGGCACAGGGCCTCTCTGATGAGTTGGCCGGTACTGAGCCTGCTGGACACCAGCCACAGATGGCAGCCCCTGCTGTCACTCGGGAAATATCTACAGAGCATCTGGCTTATTATGCAAGAGAAGCAGAGGAAGATCCAAAGGGAGGCAGCTCTGGAGCCCCATGAGGCAGACCCTTCTGGAAAAGCTTGGGAGAACAGCCCCTGGGCTCCATCTGGGATGAGGGTTGTTCCTGCCACAGTGCAGCAGGCAGACCTCAGGCCTTTGCCCCCTGCCCAGCCCTGCCTGCTCGGACTCTTCCTCAGGGCCCCTCTCCATGGCTGGGCTGATTGTGGGGAACGCGCACAATCGGTGGGGAAGAGCCTGGGCTCTGGAGGCAAACTGCCTGGGTTCAGATCCCAGCTCTGCCACTTGCTAGCTGTGTAACCTTGGGCAAGTCACTTAACTTCTCTGTACTCTGGTTTCTTCATCTGTACAGTGGAGATGATAATATTACCTACCCAAAGGTTTGTGATGAGCATGAATTATTATAGGGAAAGTTCTTGAACCAGTAATAGTATCTCTAAGGCAAGGGAGTTGGAGTGGGTCCTTCTGGCTCTGACAGTTTACCATCAGTTCAAGGGGTGGCCCAGGAGCTGGGAATCTGTTATTGGAACGTACTGGAACATAGCTCGGAACTTGGTCCCTTGGCTGAGTCCCCTCCCTACCAAGCGGCCTCTACCCTCAGGAGTGACCACCTGTGGGAATCCTTCCAGGAGTGGTAACAGCCAAGGGTCTGGACCCCACGCGGCTGCCAGGAATGACTTTTTTCTCCCCTCCCCTCCCTCCCAGGGTTGCTGAGAAGGAGCCCATCAACAAGATGTCCCTTCACAACCTGGCTACTGTGTTTGGCCCCACGTTACTGAGACCCTCAGAAGTGGAGAGCAAAGCACACCTCACGTCAGCTGCCGACATCTGGTCCCACGATGTCATGGCACAGGTACCTACGCACTGCCCAGGCCTGCGGCTGCTGGAGGGGAGGGACAAGCCTCCCTGAGGGGTGGAGAGAGAACAGCTAGGACTCCTAACCCCCTCCCCTCCTGACAGCGGGGATGATGGTCTGTAGGATGTCACCAGGGAGGCAGGGCTCTGGACAGTCCTGCTGAAAAGTAGGAACCTAGACCAGGGGCCCAGAGGTTGTCTGTCTCAAGTGCTGGCTGCAATCCTGGGAGCGCCTGGGCCTCAGAAAGCAAGCCTAGGGGTATCAGAAAAATCTGGGGCCTTGTCCCCACCCATGGAAGCTCTAGCATCGCTTCCAGGGTCAGGAAGCTTCCCTAGGAGCCCTACAAGACCCAGGGCGGGGTCTGGTCTGAAGCAGGGCTGCCAAGCCAAAGCCAAGCTCTGGAGCAGGTTGGAAGTTTATGACTGAGGTTGGGGAAGTGGCCCCAGGCTCCCCACCCTCTGCCCTGCAGCGCCCTCTACTGCTGAAAATAGGCAGCCACACCTGGGCTTCAGAGGAAGGGGAAGTGGGGAGCCACAGGGGCCCAGCCTGGAGACCAGGGCTTCTCAGCAGGTCGGAGGGCCTCCAGGGCGAGGACCCCAGCCTCAGTCTCCCCTGTCTTCCCGCAGGTCCAGGTCCTTCTCTACTACCTGCAGCACCCCCCCATCTCCTTCGCAGAACTGAAGCGGAACACACTGTACTTCTCCACCGATGTGTAGCCCCGAGGTGGGAGCGTCTGGGGGGGGTGGCCCGAGCCAGCCTCTCCAGCCGGGGCCCCAACCCAGACTTGAAGGACTACAATAGAGAACTCCCAAACCCAGCGCTCCAGACTCCAAGGGACACAGATTTCCAAGAACTGGAAGACGTGCATCTTTTGTGCCACCTTGTACAAAAAGCCAGCTGACCCGGTCCCAGCCTTGCTGCGCACCCCAGGCTCTGCCCTCTGTTCCTCTAGTTGTGTCTAATGCTCCGTGCTGTTTGGGAATTGTTTTACGTCTACTTGTCATGCAGGAAAGGTAGTGACCGACCCGGTGTGGGCACACAGACAGCCTGCTTTGTTCTTTCATTTCCTCCAACACTTTCTTTCCTCCTGAGTCCGGTCCAAGGGCTTTTATTTTGCGCTCTGTGACTGCTGCCAGCTTCTCCTCTCTTGGCCCTGCCCCCAGATCGCAGTCTCCTGGCAGCCTCCCCTCGGTCTTCCTCCGCCCTCTCCTCCCTCCCAGCCTGCCTGCATGCGTGTGCAGCCTTGGTTTTTGATCCAGCGCCTCGAAAGCCCTGAGGAGGCCCTGGGCGGCGGTGGCGGTGGTGGCCCGTGCCGCGCCGCCGCCTGCCGCCGCCGGCCTCTCCTTGCCCTGTGCCTGCGGAAGCGCACCTTCTTGCCTTGCCGCCTGTGCAGATGTTGGACAAGGAGACAGACTCACACTAACCCTCAGCTAAGCACAGGCTGGAGGGCGGATTTCTGGGATTTTTCCACCTGAGACTCTCCATTTCTGGCTTTATCTGTTCTGTCTCCAGTACCAGTGAGGCATCTTTGACTGTTTCTTCTGCTTTTCAGTTCCTTTTCCCTTGGTGTTCTATTTCCTTTGAGTACACAAGACTCACAAGTGACCTGCTACCAAGGTAGCCAGAGGGTCAGGAAAGAATTGGGGGAGGTGGGAGGGTCAGGCCGCAGAGGAAAAGGGACGGGTGGGACGTTGAGAGGAGCGCCAGGGAGCGCTGGGTGTCCCGGGCTGGGGGGAAAGAGGCTCTCGGCAGCAAGCAGTTGTGGTGGCTTTTCTCGTGGAGCTGGGCTTCTGGGAGGGCAGCTACTACGGCTGAAGCAGGTGTCCAGAAACAGGCAGGTTCTGTCCAGGAGGGCTAGTCCTTCCCGGTGCCTCCCGTACCTCGTGGCACCTTTGCCTTAGGGTTTACACTTTCTCCACAGCCAAGCACTGCCAGGGGCAGCCCCCACGGCCACGTGTGCTCCAGGCCCTGGGAAAGGCAGGCACGGTCCAGCTAGCCAGCCGTCCTGGTGCTGCCTTCCACCCTCGGCTTCTAGATGCAGCCTTGCGGGTGAACTCGGGGAAACTCCAGGAGCTGGGGAAGAATGAGGAGTCACAGGTACCTGCCTCTCTCGGGACTGGGTTTTGCAGGGGACCCTCGTTGTGGACGCTCTGCTCCAGAGTAGGGGATCAGCAGGTTCCGATCCCAACACCGAGGCCCGCTGCTCAGCACTGGAAAGGAGTGAGAAGTACCCCCAAAGTGCAATTTCTTCCCACCTGAGCAGGGGCCGCTGGCCTCTGGCAGTTAGCCTGGGAGGGCAGACACTCCCGGGCTGCAGAGATTGGAGCTGCAGTACACAGCTCCCTGGCTCTCCTATGTGGCAGAGACTAGATTATAGGCCCTCAGGATTGGAGAGAAGAGCTCCCCTAGCTTGAGCTCAGAGCTGTTTTAAAGAAGGGTTTAGGGCCCTAAAGCCGTAGCACTTGCTCAGTGAGAGGAAGGGCCCTTTCTCATCTTGTTTACACCTGTTGCCCAATCATGGGCAGAACGGTACACATTCTGTGCACATCGGAGGAAAGAGATGCCTAAGAGGAGGGCAGTACTGACCTCCTAGCTGCCTGCTAGCAGCTTAGCAAGGAGCCCCGCTCTCTGAGACAGGGGGTAGAGAAAGAAGGCCGCTTGAGTCTAAAGATCCCCAGTGTCTGATCATCCCTGGAGTCTGCTCGGCACTCAGGAGCTGGTATGTGGCATGGAAGGCTCTTGCTTCCACAGCCATTGACTGGAATGAACTGGAGGCCCAGCTAGAGCTATTTACAGCCCCAAATGGGTGCCTCCCACCTCCCCAAAACAAGGGAGGTTTGCTTCTCAGCATCAGGTATACTGCAGCCCCCCAACCTCACTTAGGCAATGAGAATGGGAGGAAGGCCGGAAGGGCTGAGAAATGCAAAAGGCTCAGAATATTTATAAATTCCACCCCCAAGAGCAGGGAGGGGCGGGTACCAGACCTGGACTGAGCTGCACCAAGGAAATAGCCCGTGGGTTCTCCTACGAGACAGGGACTGTGCAGCCCAGAAGCCCCAGCCACTGTGCCCAGCAGGGCAGGCTGTGCCAACAGAGGCCCGTCAGACAGGCTACAGGAATCCTGCATGCCTGTCCTTGCTGGCAACGGCTGTGGGCCGCCGGTGTTTGCTGACACAGGTAGGATGGGACACTTCATTAATATTTGACTTTAATAAGTTGGTAAGGATATATTTTTCTTTGGTCTATGTTCTGTTTCAACTTACGTAGATTATAAATTGATGTAAACCACGTGAGAGGAAAACGTTAATAAAAAAAATGCAAAGCCCCAACATTTGCACACAACTCAGCCCTGTGGTGTGGACGTTTGTGTTCTCAGGAGTCCAGGGAAGACCACCAATCTAAATATTTAACTCTTCCAGCTGCATCCAGATGTGCTTCCAAGAATCTGTTTACCTAGTGAACTCACCCTTGAGCTTCCCTTCGGCCTGTGGAGACTGTGGCGGTTTTGGGGGGCGAAGAGCCCGCGCCCCGTCCTTGCTCTTTCACCAACGCCTCCACCTCAGTCACCAGCCGGTTCTTTTCATGAAATACAACTGCCCCACCAGGGACGTGGCCATCAGTATGCCTCAGAGAGATGGCAGGAAGTTGTCCATTCAAGTGGAGGCTTATTTTATGTGAACTTTCTCTACATTTTCCTTGGAAGTAGCAGGTCTTTGGGGCAGCCTTTTGTCCTCATCTGTCCTGCTTGTTGGAGAGTCTGGATCCCCTAGAGGCCCATCCTCCCTGTAAGAGAGCTAGTGGGGTTAATGTAGGCTTCCACCAGCCTAAGCCATTGGACACTGTGTTTATTCTGGAGATCAGGAACAGATGTCTCTGAAAATTGGTGTTTGGTTTATGAGCTCATACTGCCTCCTTAGCCATCTAAAACAGGAAACTATTCATCTCCTCTCTTGATTGAATAGTCAACGTGGACAATGCTTGGCTTATTGAACTGACAGCTACTGACAGCCCGGGGCTCATCTTTTTCAAGGCAGTCGTGAGGACAGTTTCCTGTACTCAGTCAGTCAATGTATTTGACCCCACGCACTAGACTGGATGGTAGAAGATGCTGGGCTTCTAGCACTGTAACAGGTGCCAGGGTAGGAGTATCTACTCTTGCTCTAAGTGCTTATAGGCGACTTATTTACAGACGGTAGAGGAAACACTCCTACATTTGTTCTCTGACTTGTGAGGATACTCCAGGCAGCCTAGCCGCAGTGAAGCCTCGTGACTGAGACTGGGACAGGCATTCTATAGAATTCCCCATAGAAGGACATGAGTCTTGTGTACTAGCTCACTCATTCCAAAGGCAACAGCAGACGTGGCCAGAGGAAGGTGTTACCAGCTGGGTTTGACATTATCTCACACACACTCACTCAGGATGTCTGGATGGTTCAGCTGAGTCTGAGTTCTGGTTAAGGGTGGGTGAGCTGAAAGACAGCAGACAAGGGGGCAGAAAGCCAAAAAGAGGCAAAAAGGCAAAGGTAGAATAAAGGAGACGTTACCACTGGCTTAAGGTGGCTGGAATTACATGGCCCCCACCAAGCTACCTGCCTGTCCCGAGTTCATCTTCACCCCACCACCAAAGCACCCGAGTAAAGCAGCATCTGTGGCAGATCCCAATTGTAAAAGGCTATTTCTTTGCATATGGCACAGAATTAGGCTGAGCTGCCACTGTCAGAAAAAAGGCTACCAGGTCAAGTCAAAAACACTAATATGTTTAAGGAAGAAAGAAAAACACTGACATCAGAGAAAAATGGTAGCGGTGAACTGCTCCTCAACTCGGTCTGATCGTAACCAGCGGCTGCTGACTTAGTCACCAGGAGGACCAGAGCAGGACCCTTCACACGCTGTGTCCTCGAGCCGGGCCTGGTCTGGTGGTCAGAGCAGGACACCAGTGTGTGGTTTAGACCACAGGCATTCCCATTGGCCAGCCCACAGGAGGGGTTTTTTAGAAGAGGCCAGCAGGGGTTATGCGCGGAATTTCAACGCATCCTAGGACATGGCTAGGCTGGGCTTCTTTAGGGGAAGGCCCTGGCCAATGTAACAATCTCAGTGAGGATAACGCTACTCTGAAGATCCTGGGAACCTAACATTCCCAAACTTCTCAGGAGTTTGCTCACGCTTTCCCTGTGTATGTTCAATCTTTGGGCACCTGGAACCATTTTTGGGAATTGTGGAATTTGAAAATAAAAATAAGCCAACCTTTTAAACTGTAATATAAATACATATATATATATATATATGTTTTTTAACAAGGCAGAACACTAAACAAAATGACATCATTGGTCGGATGGCATAAATTCACTTTGCCCTGCCCCAATGTGTGAGATGGATGACGGCATGGAGGTCCAAGGTAGAACAGCTTCCCGGGTATATGTAAAGTCCCCTCCATTCCCACGGCACCAAACCACCAGAGGGCCAATTGTGGTCAGGACTGAACGTCTGCGGAACTCAATTCCTACAGGTCAACACGGTGACTCCTGATCTGCCCGAAAGAGAGCAGCTGGCGTGGCACAGCCCCCCACAGCCTGGCTGGAGTCCAGGAGCAGAGAGCGTGGCTGCTCAGAGGTGGCAGATTGCAGCCAGGCAGCTCCCTCACGACACCAACTATGTGAGGGAAAACAAATGTCTTCAGTCTCTGAAGCAAGTGCCCCGGCATGGGGCAGAAACTGCTCTACACAGAACAGCTCTGATCCTGGGCTGGCATCATCCTTCCCTGGAGGCAACTGCTCTCACCGTAGGTAATAATCGATCGCAGCAGAGAAAGCAGCAAAACCTCCACAACCAATGACCCCAGCCTTTACGCCAGCTGCAAAGCAAACACAAATGACATCACCTGTGGTGACAGATGCCGGGTCAGGCTGCACTCAGGAAGAGCCTGGGTACCCGCAGACGCAAAGAAACCGGCGTACGCGTTCCAAATCATTCAACCTAGCAGAGAGCTGAAAGACTTCAGTGAAGCCGTGCACACGATCTGATCCAGTGTGCTTTTATCTAACTGTACGTTCATTTAACTTCTCTCGTTCTAAAGAATTACTATTTCCAGCCTCATGAAAATAGCCCCTCACAGGCAGGAAACTGGTTAAGAGAACCAGCCCTTGGAATCAAGTGAAAGCATATGGCCTGTACCCTGATTTGTTTATGGAATAAATTCCTGGGAAGGTGATCAAAGCAATCCTAGAGGGAGCTGAGCCTCTCAAAGGCCCTGACAAAGCTGAGACATGGGAAGACCAAAGGGGAAGTTACTCCATAAATCACAAATGGCTATTTGAGGAGGAAAATCAGGTTTTAATGATAGCAAATTATCCTGCCTCTCAGGAAATGAGAAAAAAGGCTTTTTGCTTTGGATAAGTCCGGGCACAGCAGATGGAGAGCAGTCCAGCAATGGACACTGTTAAGAACACCCTGTCACTGACGCGCTGCACCACACTCTTGACAGACACACCAACACGGAGAAGTGGCAGGGAACCGGTTTTTTTCTTTGTTGTTTATAGATGATAATCCAACATTTCTAGAATACCTATATTTGGCTTTCAAGGGGTAGAAATCTAAGAACCCTATTACCGTGATAACTTATACACAAAATGACAGTTGTATAGTACGAAGAAAGACGTCTGTTTGCAATGTATGGAACTGAAATTTCAGCAGAGCCTGCTCTTTGGCCAAATGGGGCCCAGCTATGCTTCTGTACTTTCCCGCATAGCAACACACACCTGCATATTATGAGGAAGTTCTTCCCGTACGTTCAAGATGGGGGCAGTTCTTTTTTCTAAGATAGATCTAGATCTCTCTGTGGTTCTCACCTGGGGGTGACTTTGTTCCCCAGGGGACATTTGGCAATGTCTGGAGACACCTGTCACCACTAAAGGATGCTACTAGCATCTAGCGGGTAGAGGCCAGGGATGCTGCTATACATCCTACCATGCACAGGACAGCGCCCCCCTCCCCCTAGCAAACGTTTATCTGGTCTAAAATGTCAACAATGCCAAGGATCAGAAACCCTGATCTAGATACTAGAAGTTTCCAAAACTGAGTTAACACAGAAGCAAACGTGATTTCCTTGTCAGAAGGGAAGGATATCAAGTGTCCACATATGCCTTGGGCTGTCCTTGGAATGCTCACATATTTAGAAATGTCAACTTCAGCATGTTGTCCAAGGCCACAAAGAAAACCATCTGAGGGCTGTTTACTAACCTCTGAAACCAACGGCCCCTCCAGTGGCGCAGCCACTGATGACGCTGTTCTTCCAATCCGATCTTCCCCGGTACTGTGGGTGGAGAAGAGCAGTTCAGAGCCAAAGACACAAGCCAGACAAGATGATTAAAAAAAAAAAAAAAGATGGGGTTTCTGGCTGGCGAATCTAGTCCCTCCCCAAAGGAAACCTCTCTTTTTCTCTTTCAAAAGTATAGCTCCTAAAATTTGAATGTGTTCATAAATGCTTCCTGCAGGTGGTACCAGAGCGCTGAAACCAAGTGTAACATTGGAGAAGTAATCAAAATCTCTTCTCAGTTCCCCAGTAAGTATTCTGTTTAAAATCATTAACTGGGAATTCCCTGGCAGTCCAGTGGTGAGGATTCCGTGCTTCCACTGCAGGGAGCCCAGGTTCAATCCCTGGCTGGGGAACCAAGATCCTGCAAGCAGCGCGGTGCAGCCAAAAAATAAATAGAATAAACTCATTAACCAACTTCTAGCCTACAAAAACAAGTAAAAAATAATGCAAGCCCAAATCATAAATGCACAAAAAGTTTACATTAGGGACTATTTCATGGAAATTTAACCTAGCAAGTATTGGACATTTCTGACCTGCTTTCTAGTAGCATTAAGGGTATTTCTCTTGAGAAGTCCCAAGATGGAAACAGGCAAGGCTTTCTCAGAAGGCAGGGACACTTACAGATTCTACCAAACACTCAGTGCAAGAAAACATGGCGCCCACGATGGCAAAATTTTTGGCGTAGGACATTCCTCTCTGCCCCATGTCTTTAAGAACTTCTTTTGCTGTAGGTGTGCGGTAAGGATCCTTAGGGTCAAAGCCCACATTGGTATCAATGCCAGCAGTGAACACCCCAAATGCACCTCCCAAGACAAATCCTAAAAACAAACACAGAGATGAAGATTTCTTTGGTATGTTTTCTGGATTACTGTAATGGGGTCATACTCAAATAGCACCTTTTGGATGGCCACCAGCGAAGAGGATGCCCCCTCTTGCCTGGAAAACTCTCTACTTGTCTGGTTTCCACATTACAAAATCCAGAATCTATCTTGTTGGCAGCTTCTTCTCTG